AGATTTGCCAAAGCTTGTTGTGGTTGCTGTTATTTCTGTCCTTTCTAAGAGGAGAGGTGACATGGTATTAACCATGTTACATCTCCCCCCCTTTCCTTAAAAAACAAATTCAAGGCAGCTTTCAAAAATAGAAACTATAAAAATAACAAAGGCCCGACTTTTGTTTAAAAAAAATAAACACAAAACTAAAGGGTGGAGTGCAAAAAGGTAAAAAGTAGCAGCAAGCCAAAACTTTTTAAAAAGCAACAATCACTTTTTTAAAAAAAGTAACAGCAGAAGTCACAGGAATCTCTGAAAAATAGTAGAAAGATTTGACATTAATAGTGTGTTTAAATAAAAGTGATTGAACACTGAACTAGGTCTCTGGGTGACCTGAGTTCGAATCCTCATTCAGCCCTGGGAACATACTGCATGATCTTGGGCAAATCTCACTCTCTCAGCCTGAAAGGGAGGCTCAGGTGCATCCGCACTGCAGAAATAATCTGGTTTGACACCACTTTAACTGCCATGGCTCCATGCTATGGAATTCTGGGAGTTAGTTTGTTGTAGCACCAGAGCAGAGCTCCCCTCATTCCATTTCCAGATTAGAGGGAAACAATTAGTGGTAAGGAGGGGGCACAGACTGAAAAGCCCAAGGCTGGAGCAGATCCATTGGAATCAATGGGGTTGGGCAAGGTACACATATCCTGCCTGGGTGTTGTTGGCCTGCAAGACCCAGCATCCCCAGCTACCATGGTGAACAAGCAAGGAGCGCATGCTGCAAATTGCAGTGCAACAACATCTCAAGGTTGGTAGGATTTTGCCCCTGTGGTTTATTTCAATGGGTTTCAGTGGGACTGAAATTGGTTTTAGACTCTAGCATTCACCTGAGAAAGAGGGAGATTTTGAAAATGTGTTTTGCCTCTTCGCATCCCACTGCAAGGAGTTCCATAGGTCATTTGCAACTCCTGCCCAGTATGTGCAAAAGTTCATTTCCTGGTGTTTGCTTGCAAATGGAGCATGTCGGTTTTGCTGTTTCCAGTGAGGACAAGCGAGGGTTATCTATAATTAACTCCTGTCCCCGCTTTAACCTGCCCATGTCCCTTCCTTGACGCTCAGCCCTGTCTCCCTCCCTTCCTTGCAGGAATCCAACTCATCCTGGTTGGACTCGGTCGTGCCACACCTGGCGGGGATCATTGAGCTGGAGGACACGCCGGCCATCCAGATGGAAGTGGGCTTCCTGGCCAGAGAGTTCCCCGACTTGCAGTGAGTGGGTCAGGAGGGAGCATGGCTCATTGGGGATGCTGGGACATGCCGTGCACCCACCTGCATTTGCAAACAGCCCTCCAAACACATCACCAGAAAACCGGGACTTTATAGTCAGGGGACATGGGAAACAGCATGATGCATAGTTAGATACTCTTGGTACATATTTATATATTTACTGGCTGAGTCGTCCTTATCTGAAATGCTTACAGCCAGGACTGTTCTGGGTTTTGGATGATGATGATGATGATGATGATGATGATGATGATGATGGAGCTAGGGTGGCATAGTTGTTTGAGTGTTGGACTATCAACCCTGAAGACCAGGGTTCGATTCTCATCTCCCTTACTAGGGGAATGGAGGATAAGGAGAACCAGTGTGATAAAGTGGTTTAAGTGTTAGACCATAACTCTGGAGACCAAGGTTCGATTCCCCTCTTGGCCATGAAACTTACTGGGTACCTTGGGCAAGTCACACTTTCTTAGCTTCAAAGGAAGTCAGTGGCAAACTTCTGAACAAATCTTGCTGAGAAAACCCCATTATAGGTTCGTCTTAGGGTTTCCATAAGTCAGAAATGACTTGATGGCACACAACACACACACAGGATAAGGGACTTTTAATCTAGGCTCCTTGCTTCAAGCTGGAAGTTGGATGCAAAGTAGAGCAGAGCAGAGAGTGAGTCCTGGAGCCATGAGGATTGTTAGAGGGGGAAAAAAGGAAGCTAACTCAGTGCATAGACCTTCTGGAGATTCTTTGCAAGTTGCAACAAGGAACGAAGTAAGCCCTGCAATTTATACCAAGCCGCTGCTTTGCTGATTGAGCTAGAGATTCGCACACAGGCCTTCTTTTCTTGCCCACCAGAAATGGAAGATTTGCTCCCACATCTCCATCCTGGAGATGACCCATGGGAACTGGAGCATCATCCTTTTTCCCTCAAGTGGAAGATGATGCTCCAGACTGAGAGTCCCTGGAGACCGCAGCCGTTGTTGTTCTCCTCCTTCCTCGCTGCAGGACGGGTTTTCGGAAGCCCCAAAGTGTCGCTGGCGGTTTCCCAGGACGAAGGGGACGGTGGCGAGTTATAAATACTCTTCCTTGAACGGTGCCCTGGCAGCGCCATTCAGCTACCACCAGCCCAGGACTGCGTCACTCGGGGAGGGCGAAGCGCGGCCTTATCGTGTCTCCTCTGTTTGTTTTCCTTTCCATCTTCCTGCTTATTGCATCCTTAGGAATTGTTTCGGAGGCGACAGATTGCCCGTTAAGTGTGGCTGACGGACGTTTCCTGTTTTATCTGGACCCTTTTGGGGTTGTTGTTTCTTGAAAAAAAATCGTAAAAGAAAAGAGAGAGAGGCACCCAGCAGAAGAAAAACAAGTGGCTGGGATTCAGACAGGAAGTGGGTTGGGTAGCAGCTTCCTGCCGGCCGGCCATTTTACGTTGGCAGCGGGACAAGAATCGCATTGCGGTGTCAGGATGCGGCGGCCTCGGCGAGTCACATACGGTGATTTAAGCATCTTTTTGAAGGCTTGAAACACCTCCCAGCTTAGAGAGGGGAAGAAAAACATTTAGGGATGCAAAAATGGATGCACCACCGGGTGACCTTGGGCAAGTCACACTCTCTCAGCCTCAGAGGGCGGCAAAGGCAAATCCCCCTCTGAGCGAATCTTGCCAAGAAAACCCCATGATAGGATTGCCATAAGTTGGAAATAACTTGAAAGCCACACAACAACAACAAACCAATGGTTTGTTTAACCCATACTGCATCTGCACTGCAGAATTAATGCATTTTCACATCGCTTTAACTGTTGTGGCTCACTGCTATGGAATTCTAGGATCTATAGTTTAGTGAGATGTTTAGCAACCTCTATAGAGAGCTCTGCTGCCACAACAAACTGCAAATCCCAGGATTTCATAGCACTGAGCCGTGGCAGATAAAGTGGTATCAAACTGCATTAATTTTGCAGTGTAGATGCAGTATGGCTCCTAAACAGACCACTGGTCTAACCTCGTTAGTCGCTGTTGCTGTTGTTGTCGTTGTTGTTGTTGTGTGCCTTTCAAGAGGAAAGGGCTGGGTGCAATTCTCCAGCTCAGAGAAGAGAGTATTAGCTTGCTACAGTTTCTAAGGCTTAATTGATTTTAATGTTGCAACTTGCAAAGACTCTCCAGAAGGTCTATGTATTTACTTAATTAGTTTCCTACAGGGATTTGTAGTTTTGTAAGCCTTCTTTATCAGAGAGCTCTGGGGCCACAACAGACTACAAATCCCAGGATTCCATAGCATGGAGCTATGGCAGTTAAAGAGATGTCAGACTGCATTAATTCTGCAGTGCAGATGCAGCCTCACAGTGTGGGATATTCTGAACTAGTAACCCTATTGATAACACAATGAGGAATTAGTAATCTTTACCTTTTTTCTACTACAGCTCCCTAAATCCCTCCACCCAGCATCTTCAGTAGCCAGGCTGGTTGGGGATGCTGTGTGTTGTAGTCCAACAAAAGGTACTTTCCCGAGCGCTCCATGATTCCTCACTTTGCTTTTCACTCTTTCGTGGGAGTAAAGAAGTTTTAAAGCCTCAAGAAACATCCATCATTGCCAAGACTTTTCCTTCATTTCTTTGGCCTCCTCTAATCCCAATGTGGCATAGTTTGAACACTGGACTCTGGAGACCAAAGTTCAATTCCCAATTCAGCCATGAAACCCACTGGGTGACCTTGGGCAGGTCACGCACTCTCAGCCTCAGGTGAAGGCAATGGCAAACCTCCTCTGAAAAAAATCTTTCCAAAAACAATACCCAGGATAGGTTTGCCTAAGGATGGCCATCAGTTGGAAACAAGACACACAACCCACACACACGCACACCATTCATTGCATCTTTGCAGAAACAAATAGCAGCCCAGGGTAGGAAGCGTGTGGCGAGAGGAAACCGTTTCCATCTAATTTTTAGGGGGCTTTTTATGCTGCCTTCCTCAAAGGAGGTGGCTTGGAAAAAGAGGGAACCCCCTCAGCAGAGGAAGAAGTCAGGCCCTCTCTGGCGCTGCAAAAATGTGGCCAGAGGATGCAAGCAGCAACATGGTGGGTCTTTGCGGGGTGTGGCGATGGGGGCCGAGGTGATCTGCCACCCTCCGCCAGCTTCTCCTGATTGTTTTCCGCCCCTCCCCAGGAAATGTGCATGGAAGGAAGCGGTGCAAGGGGACTGGAGGCATCGCTGAGATGGAGCAGGGAGACGGGTGAGACGGATACGGCCGGCTAATTAGCTGGGAAAGCCGCCGGCCACTTCCCCTCCGCTGCAGCGCAGGCCTTTCTTTCTCTGGTGCTGGGAAAAGGCACCTCAGAGAGACCATTAAGCCAGGCACACATCTCCCTCCGCCTGGGCAGCCAGCACAATGCCGGGGGCGGCGGGGGGCTTGATCCCACGATTGCATGGGCCCCATGCCAGCTTCCCGAGGTTAACAAGACATCCGAACCAGCAGGGCTTGCAATAAACCTCCTTCGGTCTTGGGAGCAAGGATGGGTGCCTTCCCCTCGAAGGATGGGAGAGCATGGGGCAAGGGCTCCAGAGAGCAAGAGGGAGCATGGAGGCACAGGGATGGGCTGGTGCCTCAAAAACAACCAAATCCTGCCTCCTCTCCTCCAAGGCTCAGCATCAACAACCCCTGATAATAATAATATGAACAGCAACAGCAACAACAATTTGTTGTTGTTCCTGTGATGTGCCTCTAGAACATTTTTGACTTATGGCAACCCTAAGGCAAACCTAGAGCCAGAATGGCATAGCCGTTTGAGCGTTGGACTAGGATTCTGGAGACCAGGGTTCGAATCCCAGCTCAGCCATGGAAACCCACTGGGTGACCATGGGCAAGTCACACGCTCTCGGCCTCAGGGGAAGGCGATGGCAAACCTCTCTGGAACAAATCTTGCCAAGAAAACCCCAGGATAGATTCATCTTAGGGTTGCCATAAGTCAGAAACAATATAAGTTTTCTTGGTAAGTTTCTTCAAAGGGGTTTGCCATTGCCGTCATCTCAGGCTGAGAGTCTGTGACTTGCCCAAGGTCTCCCAGTGGGTTTTTAGGCATGAGCGGGGAATCGAACTCTGGTCTCCAGAGGTGTAGTCCACTCAAACTACTACATCATGCTGGCTCTCTATAATAGTAATATACCAACTTTTCCCAATACTGGGACTCAAAAAGACGTCATACCCAATGTATGGCAACCCTAAGACAAGCCATCACTGGATTTTCTTGGCAAGGTTTGTTCAGAGATTTTTTTAAAAGTTTGCCTTCTTCCTCTTAGGCTGAGA